GGCCGGGGATTTAGCTCAGAGCTGGTAATTTAACTCAGTGGTTCCACCCCTGCCTCGCAAGCTCAAGGTCCCGAGTTTGATCCCCGGTACCAAGAAAGAACCAGGAAGCTTAGTTCATACTAAGCAAAAAAATCAAGTCATTTTCACTGAAAAGTCCAAAGGAGTGACAGTTTGGACCCCATATCTATGATTCTAACACTTTTTTTCTGGGCTTCAGTTTCCTCATAAGTAAAATTAAATTAGACAATCTCTAGTAAATCTATATTACCATAACATTCCGTGAACCTATGTCAAATTTAGAATGCAAAGACTATTCCATTTAATGAATTAATCATACCATAGCCCTTGTTAAAGACTTGATTTTTCCCTAATGTCATCATCTCCAGCCACGAAGGTCCAGGGATATTTAATTGATATTTCTTCCTGCTTTCATGAGGACAAAAAATCGTTAAGCAGAAAAAGTATATTTCCCACTCCTCCAAATTGCTCAGAGAGAAACCAGGTTGTTCCTAAAGAAAAATTAGGGGTATCTGTATATATCTTATTCAAAGTCCAGGTGAGTTAGCTACCCCTACTACCTGCCATACTTCTGACTCAAAATGAAACACATATACTCTAATACTATGGTTTCCACATTTGCTCAAATTCTTGCTTTCTCTCTGGACTCCAACATAGGCCTGTATATGTAGAGCCAAGCTGATTGCCAAGGCAAAACAAACACAAAGAGCTCCCTCGAAACCTGAAGCTTACAGCAAGCTAGAGGAAAACAAAGATTGCAAGATATGTGTAATATTTCCATTTTTTTATATCCTCAGAAACCAAAAAGTACTCAAAGGCACAATACAAAGCCCATAAGAAACATTACTAATACTTCTTAAAATACAAGCCAATAAACATTATATGTTGAAAAATATTTCAAATGATGCCCTGTGGTTAATAACTTGTTTTAGTTATTATCAAATGCATTATTGTTACCAAATGGAGGATCCCACAGGGCTCTTGCCAGGTACTTGGTGTCCACAACAAAGAATTGGACAAGACATATGGAAAAGGCAGTGAAAGAGTAGAAAAGAAGTACACTCTGCAGACAGTGAGCCAATGGGGAAAAATAAACAAAGGCTTACCATGGGACCCTCTTGAGGACAAGGGAAAGGGGTGTTCTGTATCCAAAATTCTCGGGTTATCTTTCTTTTATATAAATAAAGCATTGATAAAGTGGGCCTATCAAGTACTCAATTAGCATCATGCCTTCTGTAAACTGTCTTGTCAGAAAAAAATTCATTTGGTTTCCTGTTACTTGGAAATGAAGGATCGAAATTAGTTTCTTTTGATTGATTATCCCCACATGCAAATGAAGGATTGAAAAAGAGCATCTTCTGATTGGTCCTGCAAACAGCACCAGATTAAAATGAAAGATTGAAAATAACAAATTTGGGAGGGGGGGGGTACTGGGGATCGAACTCAGGACCTTGTGCTTGCAAGGCAGGCGCCAGAACCACTGAGCTAAATCCCCAGCCCCTGAAAATAACAAATTTTTGATTGGTCCAAAATAGCACTTCTCTGATTGGTTCTGTGTATAGTAATGATGGTGTCACTGTATTAGGAGTGTCCCTCCCCCAGAAGTATCCCTCACCTACCTTATTGTCAATCCTTTGACACTCACTCTTGGGCCACGAAAGACTGAAGTTCGGATACTCTGTGTCTCCATGTGCTAGGGAAGTTTAAGAAATAATTGGCCAGTGCAGGATGGCCCCAGTCAAGTAGGTCTGCTGCATTGGTATGAACTAGTCAGAAACTTTTCCAGATGCTGTAGTCCAAGTTGTGAAGCACCAAGACAGGCAAAGTTGGTTATTCTGTTTTCTCCATTTATTAGCTGTGTGACTATAGGCAATTTACTTAACCCCTCTAAACCTCAATTTCCTCACCTTTCAAATGAGGTACATCTAGCTCAAAGAATTGTTTGAGTTTTCAGTGTTGTAATAACAGATGTAAAATATTGAGAAAAGTTCTGGGCATGTAGTAAGCATTAAATAAATGTTAATTAGTGGTCATGGTGGTTGGAGGGGGTTGGGGGTGACAGGATGGGGAGAGAACTGTGAGGATGCATTTTAGGGCATTCTGGAACAATTCAGACAACCAAATCCAAGCCCTCTTTCCACTTCCACCCAAAACTTACAATAGAACCAACCCAGATACTTCCTTGAGTAAGATATTGTCTGCTCAAAAGCCAGTCAGCTAAAAGAGTAACACACTCACAGACAAGATATTGTTTGGCTCAACTCTACCAATGTGGAAAGCCATATTAGTAGAATTGGAGAAGATGCATTTCTTCCATTCTTAAAGGATATTTTGAAATACCAAATGGTCCCTGGAGTCTACCTCTCCTACGTTACTGTCCTTTCCTTCCTAGAGTCCTTCAGGTTAGAAATGCTAAAAGAGCAGGAAAATTCAGGAGCCAGAGAACATCCTGATTTTTCCATGAGATTTGACAGCATAGTTGGCCTACCAACAGTTTGTGATTCATTGTCATTCACCAAGGTTAATTTCAGTGATCTGATTTCTTAATCCTTGAGAAGTCTTGAGAAGTCATCCCCATTCCCAGCTGCACAAAGCCTCACTGAGGATCTATTTGAAGAGCTTCGCTTCAGTGTTTAAAGCTACAGATTCGCAGAAAGAAATTATCAAAATCTAATTGAGTGAATACAAAGCAGTATATGAAATTTTACAATAATAACTCCATTTTATAAATCTGTTTGCTTTTGTCATAAGGATACATTTAAAAAGTCACAGTAATTTAAGGTAACAAAATGATAAAGCGACTTAATCAAACATTAGTTGATTGTCTGTATAACTAATTCTATCCAGAGTCTTTGGATGATTATTGATCAACAGAAATATAATGCAACTTTAAAGCCGGGCATGGTGGTGCACATCTGTAATCCCAGCTCTCAGGAGCCTGAGACAGGAGGATCACCACAAGTCTGAGGCCAGCCTGCACTACATAGTGAATTCAAATCCAGCCTAAACTACATAGCAGACCCTGTCTCAAAGACAAACAAAAAAGATACATTTTAAGTTTTTGGTAGCCATATTTTAAAAGGTAAAATTAGTAATATGTTTTAATGAATCAAAAATATTACTATTTTGACATGTAATCAGTGTAAAAAATATTATACTTTTTTGTGCTGTCTTAAAAATTTAGTGTGTATTTTATATTTAACCGCATCAGACTAATTCAGACTAGCCACATTTCAAATGCTCAATCACTACATT